TTTGCTAGCATTAAATTCCCCAGCTTTAGATCCTTCATCTTCCTTTTGCTTTAAGTTGTCATATAATGACTTTGCTTTTTCTCAAATCATACTATAGTCCACAGGTATGCCCTTCTTAAGCAATCCTGCACCCACATAAAAGCTGCATTTTCAACAGGAGATAAAAAGATATTTTGCAAAACGTATATATTTTTTGTGCCTACTGGCATAGCTGTAGTGACAGCTTCACAAATTTCATTTTATTTTTATTTTTTACAATGATACTTACTCCAGATTCATGTATCTCGAAATGGTGGGCAACCACAGCTGCAGACCTCAGTCACAGATCAAGCGATTCAACTTTTTCTTGTAATGTCATGACTTTTCTCTGCTTCTTGGGGTCATTTCCAGCATCACTGGTGGCACTTTGTGTGGGTTCCATGGTATTATTAATAATTTACAGTATTGTACTAAACATGATGAAAAATATGCCAGACCTGTGAGAGGTCACCTATTGCTATGATAAGCAATTCACTGGAAAGACAGACTGCTCCCATGGAGATGATTATGTCACATGTTGTTTTAAGCCAGTCCACCAAACAGACTCATCTCAATAGCAACAGGAGTATCTACGAAATTATTACACAGTGCAGCATGTACTACAGTTAATTTTATATTATTTTAAATTATTATAGCACAGCATGTACTACAGTTAATTTTATACAGTTCTGATTTCATACTGCATCTTTACAATTGTTTACATTTCTTCTGACTGTGGATGGTGCCATGTATGGTCCGTGTTTGTATGTGTAGGTTTTGATAAATTTTAACTTTCGATAAAAGATTTTTATAGTGGTGAATGATATATTTATTAGACTAGTGTCCATATATATTTTATGCATTCATGACACACCTAACTTAAACATTTTAAAAACATTTCCAGGTTATGCGGTTTGAGTTTTTTCAAATTGTTGTAAATCTTCAATAATTTTTTTCCAGTATGTTTATTGCAGAAAATTCATGTATAAACAAACCTGCACAGTTTGAATTTGTGATTCAAAGGTCAACTTTACTGGTAGAAATACCACAAATTACAGATGAAACAAAGTATTCTTCATTTCATTAAAACATACTGTATTTAGCTGCTAGAGATACAACAGTGAACAAGCTAGAAATGGTTCCTTCTCTCATGGAACTTACAGTTTAATGGCTATAGGAGACAATGAACAAATAAGCAACACATGTATATTTACCTAATAGGGTGCAGAGATCGAGGCTAATTGGTCTCTTAACACAGATAAGGTGGTCAGAGAAAGCCTTTCTGAGGAGTTGAGATTTAAGGTGTAGGCTTCCAGGACGTCAGGCTTGTGAGGGAAGAGCATTACAGAGAGGGCCTCATCATGTGTAGAGGCTCTGAGAGGGAAAGAACTTGAGCTTTGCCCGTTCAGAAAGAAACAGAGGCGGGGGCCAGGTCACACAGGGGCTCATATCCATGGCGTGGAATCTGAATTCTGAATACATGAGAAGACACTGAAGAACTTTAGAACTCAACAAGGTCCATTGTTTGTATTATATGGAAAGTGGACTGAAGGGAATGGAGCAGGAGTGGAAGCAGGAGACTGCTAGGAATTCCTTGTGTAAGATGAGAAGTGATGGTGGCCTGGACTAGGATAGTCAAAGTGAAGAGGGAGAGAGGAGGATTCATTCAGAGCATACTTGGATGGTAGAACTGGTGGAGCTTGTTGGGTTGGGTATGGGGAGTGAGGGAGACAGAGAAATCAAGGATGAGTCCCAAGTTCCTAGCTTGAGGAACTGGGTGGATGGGAGTGCCATTAACCAACATAAATTATCTGAAGGAAATAGAGAAGGACATAAAACAAAGCCAAAGGAAATTTGAAGGTTGGCAACCCTTCGCAGAGTCTAGCCACCCACATGTTTTTATTCCCATTCTCTTGCTTCTTACCAAAATAAAAGCTTTTCATCTGTTGCAGACTCTTTGAACACAGTGCAGCCTCTGTATCATCAATAATTTATGCACTGTTCTCAAGTAAAAGCATTAGTGTCCAAGGCCTTGTGATTCTGATCTGGTTTCCCAGAATTATTTCACAGGGCAGATATGAAAGGGAAGATTTAAAAACAAAAAAACTCCATCACTTGTTGCTGTGGTGCTATGTAAAGGGCCATAAGTAAGTCATCCTCAGCATTGCTCTCCTTTTTGTAGGTGTATATTTCAACTGCAAAGGTTGTCTTTCCTCCAGGACCTGTTGTACTAGTGCCTGAACCCTATTTATAGGAAACTAAACAGGTTGATTGATAAGTCTGGCTTCCAGCTGACTTTTTTTCCCCTATGCACCATCAGAAAGGATTTTGGAGTTATACCTTTGCAACTTTCAGTCTGATACTGGTAGTTACTTGTTTCAGGGAAGTGATTATTTTCATTAGGTATCATTCTTTTAATAATAACTTTTTTATCATAAATAAAATATCTTCACTGTAGACAAATTTAAAAGTACGGAATTTGTGTACAACCACTTACAATCCCAATGCCAAGAAGTAATATTTTCTTCCAGTCTTTAAAAAATATAGTAAGTGTGATGTTTCATACTTTATGTACAATTTTATATCCTCCATTTTCTACTTAGCATTCTGACTCTTTTCTATATCTTATCAACTATTACTCAAAGACAACATTTTAAATGGCTATATAATATTCCATTGTATGGAATACTTAATCATTTTACTGTTGTTGAGCATTTAGGTTGTTTGTTGTTCTTTGTAGAGAAAGTTTAAATTAAGGAAAAAAAGCCAGACAGTTTTTACAGAGCACATTGTTTTAACGAAAGAGACTAAATCTTCTACTCAAACCCAAATAATTTGTAAAAGCCACTGTCTACTCCAGGAAGCTATTGAAGAATGATTGGGGCATCAGAACAATTGCACTAGTAAACCTTGTCTCCTGGGAAGCTATTTCTGGGCTTTTAACTCTTGCAGTGTTTTTCGATGTTCTGGAAGGTGCCAGAGTTATACATGGACCACCCTTGCTAGGCAAGTCAGCTCCGTTACTCACGGTGATCTTCGTCCTGGTCCTTTGAAACTTCTCGATATTTCCATTTGCTGCTTGCACTTCTGGATCTTGCCTTGCAACAATGACTAGAGCTAGGGGGAGAGAGGCACAGTCCTCTTATCATAGCTTTGAGCTGCCAAATTTGCACTGCTTTATCTTCATCCCAGCCTTCCACTGTGGCAGTCCCTTGGGTCTCAGCAGGCCACCTCTTTTTGGCCACCCTTCAGTCAGCAACTGTTGATGGAGCACCTTCCAAGTTCCAGAAACTGGCTAGATATTGGAAATAGAATGGTCAGATGCAGCTGCTCTTGTGGTTTATCATGTGTGGGAAGTAATTACATGGGAGGGAAGATAGAGAGTTATGTATGGTGTGGGAGAGTGACGTACTAAAGGAGAGGTCTGGACAGGTGTGTGTGTGTGTGTGTGTGTGTGTGTGTGTGTGTGTGTGTGTGT